TTAAACTGCATTTTTCTCAGTTTCCATTTTTTTGATAAATCTGTTTACTTAAAAAGTCCTGAAACTTATATAGATATGGACTAAATTATTTAATATTTTTACCGCTTATTTAAAATTATATACTTTATAGAAACCAGAATGGGATTTGCAAAATACTGAAAACAAAAGTTACTTGAAGTGAAAATATGATTGAGATCATATTTGTTTCAAAGTTTTTACATAAAAATATGTTTTTAATTTTTCTCAGAAACTAATTCATTAATTGTAAAATCGATCCTTAAAGTTATTAAGAACACTATTATAAATACAATGTGAAAATTTGAGGTAAAATCATTGAAAATTGTAGGAGAAAAAAAAGACATTAATTATTAAACATTTCGTCCAAAAATTGTAATTAAAAAATTACTGGCAAAAATATTTTTCAGCTTAAAATCATTTTGTCTTACAAAACCATTTAATAATATTCATAAAAAGTAGATGAAATTTCTTAAATAAAAAAATCATTCAAAAGGTACTGATTCCCCTAGTCGCTACAAATTTCTGTTATTTCATACGTTTCAATCTAATATTTTTCGATGATATCGCATCCCCAGATATCTAACAATGCAATTGTTTCACTGACAGTCCAGTGAGCAGTCAGTTGCACGTCAGCCATGTTCTTTGCTAAAATTAAGTGAACAGTGGAATGCACTATGGGAAATCTCCCCATTTGCGCTGCTCCGGAGAGGTAGGAACATTCTACCAAGTTCTACCTCCAATTCTGAGAGGCAGTTAATGCTTGTTCGTGTGTGAATGGGATACGTTGGAAGAACCAGTTTTCACTACCGGTCGAATCTGCTCTTGTGAACGAGGCTTAAATCAATCTGTAGTATCATCAACTCAAATTCTTATCTTCTTCCTCTTTCAATCACCAGAAAACTAGTAAAATATTTGTCAGACATTTATCAAGTTCCCAACTCGAAGTTTCCACAAGCGTTAATTCCCTAACTGTCTACAGTAGAAAAGAAATAAAATTTTTTACAATATAATACAAGTTTCACACGCATCATATTAACAAAATCTTTCTTTAACATAACTTTAGGCAAAAACATTACAACACATACGATTTACAAATAGTAGAGGCCATACGAACAGCATCAAATTGTTAATGCACTGCCCAACCCAAGGATTTGAGAGTTCTTGGTTGAGGCAGCCACATGAATTTTAAAACTGAAAATGCAAACCTGGATATTTCAGATATTGTTTCTCATTGTCAATACTCAATGTGCAATATTTTTCGAAATATAGTGTTTTAAAATCGGGCATGTCATTCAGTATTATCTTGTATAGCCATCCTATTAAACAGCACATTTTGGACTCCTTAGATCATTAATAAGTGTAATGCAAAAATATTTGTTTGAAGGTGGTTTTTAAGTCTCTGTTCATTATGAGAGAAGGAAACCAACCTACACATCAATTAATAACAATAATCACCTTTGATTTTTTTTAATACATACTCCTACTCCCTTTCATTTCCTCATGCAAATGATTATTTGACCTTAGGATAGAAATCTTTTGCAATTTAATACACCCAACCATGTAAAAACAAAAGTAACATAAAAGACAAAATAAATAATTGACAGCTGAACTTCAGCATAACTTTAAAAATGCATTTATGGCCATTAGAAGAGCAAATTTAGATCAAACTCCTGACACTACACAAATGTGCATCATGTAACCAGAAAATGCTACATTGAAAATTTGTACTCATAAAATAAAATTTTGGATATTTTACATTTATTTTCATGAATCATTCTTTGCTACACATGTAAGAATTTTTTTTCCTTTTTAAATAGCATCTTAACACCACATCAATCATTTATAATCCCCCTGTACTTCTTCTATATTTGAATATTTCATACTTAGTAAGAGCTGAGTAATTTAAAACATAGTGAATGTATGTTTTACTATAACAATCTTATAGAATTTTTTAAAAATCAAAACAACACAGTGAAATAAAATAACACTTTTCCACAGTTATTACTCCAGTGGACCAGGAAAAGTAGGAGCAAATGCCAAATTTGCAGGATTAAGTACCAGCAGGTAATATAGAACAGATATTTGTTTAAACATAAAAAGTGAAAAATTAGCAAGTCTATCAAAAACTTCAACATGTCATTATGGTTCATAATAATGAAATTTGCATTAAAACCTGCATAACCATAATGACCATCTTTATATCTCATTTTTAAAGTTCTTGATCTTATATAATTACATGAAAAATGTAAGTTAGCAAAAATTTGGTATCATATTCTATGCACATGAACTAATATGCAATTTTGAAATTCTGTTGATGGGAACTTTGACTTGGCATATTACTAAAAATTTTTTTACACTGAACTTCAAATATAATACTTAACTTATGCATTTGAATAAAGATATTTCTTTTCAAGATTTAACAACTCAACTATATGAATGAAAATATTCATACGACGACTCCAAAAATATAATTTTTTGAGAGAGGGTAATATATAAAATATAATTTTTGGGGTGTTTTATTTATTTTTTAAAAATTTTGATAGTGAATTAAAATTATTCAAAATAAATAAAATTAGAGAAATAAAGTATTTAAAAAATGAATTTTAATAAAACTGCATGACAAGTTCTCAACAGCTATGTAACTGAAATCTATCAAAGAAATTCAAAATTAAAGGTAATTTTATGAATTTAATATTAAACCCTATGAATAATTTTCTTTATTGGTGGGAAGGGAGGGTTACTATCAAGTCCTAGAAATATTAAAAGAAAATGTTTTTAAATTAGGAATATATAATTTCCAAGTTTAACACTAAACACACAGTTGTCCAGGTTCATTCATTATAACATTATACAAGTTCTGAACAGCATTTACGTAAAAAATGTACATAAAAAAGATAAGCTCTAGCAAAAATTAGCAATCCATATGAATGACTTCAATCTGAAAATAAATACTTGTGAAATATTTTAGGCATATTATTGAATACTAAAATCAAATCTTATGGAAGTCAAAGATATCATCTGCATAGTGAGTACAACGACAACTTAACATTCTAGAAGAATACTATTATTTCTTACCTGCATCTATAACATTTCTCTACTCTGCATTCATATAATACTTTAAAAACATATAGATATATTTATACTTTTTTAATCTTAACAACATTACACTCATTGAAAAAGCAATGATGATTCACACTACTTAAGAAAATACTTCATGAAGGAGAAAGCACCTATTCGGAAAGAAATGATGATTCATACCTCTGTAAAAATTCATGAAGCAGGTTAGGTAACAAATCGTTTTCAGGCATAATAGCATGGAGATAGAACAGATTTAGAATGATGAACTCGTTTGTAGAGAGGTACTCTTTCGATAATATTGGTTGTTGAACAACTAAAATTATTATTGATGTTGAAAGCTTTGAGGACATTTTTACTTACATTGGTACTAAGCTATTAAAATTATTACCAACTAAAATAACTCTGGCAACAAAATTTTCTTTTGTTTCAATAGAATGTACCAATTCAAGCAATAATAATAAAAAAAAAACTAACTGTGCTTGGAATAAAAGGTTAACTTAAAACAGTCATACAGCAATTACAGATAAATCTCATATCAGCAAAATCAGTAAGCAAGACAGAGTAGTGATGCTATAGGAAATACAGTTAATTCTCCTGCCATCTAACAAAATTAAAATTGCAGGAATTTGCAGCTTTAAACAGGCAATTTAAGACTTTCAAAAAAGAATATTTTTTAGGAAGTTCAGAGCAGTAATCTAAATAATATGGAAATTAGGGATATTTTAAAACAAAAGGTTAACAAACAAACTTCGCAAAAAAAAGGGGGGGGGCAGAATAATTTTGAATATTGATAAGTACAGAAAAATTTATTACACATATAATCCACTCCAAGCAGTTGGGATGCAAATACACAAATAAAACTGCCACTTTTAGAAATGTCCTAGATGCCAATGGTGTTTCAAATGATGACAGTTTTAATACAGGCAACCTTCAAGCATGCTAGATTTTAGTGAAACAACTGTATTTAGAACTTGAGGTTTTGAATTTTGATATGTTTTCATGCAGAAATATTAAAATATTTTTAAAAATAAAAAAGAAAATAATTCATTCATTTCTAATAATGAAATGTTCTATGCAAACAATTACTATGATTAAAAATACGTTGTAAAATTGGCAATGAATTTGAACAAACTTTAACAAGAAATGCTAAAATTTTACTATTACATTAGGAGTTATAAAACACAAAATTTAATATCTGCACTATTTAATGAAGGCAGAGGCATCTAATATTTTACAGCAAATACAACTTTATCTTATTTACTAAGATTAAACCTTGAGCACTGCAGATTATGCAAAATCCTTTATAAATTTGATTCTTTAAATTCCTAAACTCATCATTTATGAAAATTTATTTTAAAAGCTAAACTTTCATGTTTTTGTAATTATTAATTTCAAGTTATAAAAAAATTTCATGTAGATAAGTGCCTTTAAGTGGACATTTTAAGCAAATTCTGAACGTTAAAAAAAAAAAAAAAAAAAAAAAAAAAAAAAAAAACCTATTTTAATTATGATAACAAAATTCTCGCACTTGAACGGGTTTAAATAATTTAACAACTAGTCTATTGAAAATTCACTAAATTTTATAAATGAGGAAAACATTTCTTACCATCTGAGATTTTTCCTTTAAAAGAACATATAATGTATACAGCACTTAGTTTTTAATTGCTGCTTTTATATCACTGCAGTAATTTAAAATTTCTGACATGGCTTTCATACAACTGAAATGAAAATCTGTAAACCTTTTCTATTAATGCTCAAGCATTACTGGCAATATCTTAATGCTTTATGTAAACAACGCAAGTTTTTTATGATTTAATAGCCAATTAAAGCACAATGAAGAATTCTAATGTTAAAATAGACTGCAACCACTCTGTTATGTAATGCACATGAACCACAATACTTACCTTGTGGTGTACCATGAAGAATATTGACTGTCACTGATCTGTGCTGCTCATTCTGAGGATTAATAACCATGGCATAAAGACTTCCACGGCGAGCAATATCATCTATAGTTTGGGTAAGCAATGCTTCATCTTTGAGAAAAAGAATATCCACCAGAATTCCAAGGTTTTTCACTCGAGCTTCAACAGATTCAGCATATGCTCTAGAATACAAATTTTAAAATGTTTAAGTAAACGACTGTTATTATCCACAAAAATTTACTGTCGAGATTTATTATCTTAAAATCCCCTTGGTGCATTACTTTTTTAAATTTAAAATAGCACTCATTTATCAGACAAAAATTAAATAAATAAAATAGTTTCATAAGAATAAATTGAGTTTAATTAAAAAAATTAAATTTAAATACATATTTAATTAAATATTCTTTGCGCCATTGCTGCAAGGAATGAAATTTAAATTTAAACAAATTTAAATTCTTAACAAATATGTATAAAAGTAAAAAAGTAAAAAAGCAAATTTAAATTCTAAAAAAGGAAAAAAGCCAAAATAATTTAAAAATATGCAAACATGTAAAAGATTTAATTCTCGAACTAATCTACAATATCATTTAAATTCAGAAGCATAAGCAAATCAAGTGCAAAATCTATCCATGAAATAAATCTACTAATTTAATAAATTAAAATTAAAATTAAACAATTTTTTTTTTTTTTTTAAAATGCATATGTGAATGATCGTAGAGTAGGCAGGAGACAGACTTATTAAGGGGAAGTTGCCTCCAAACCTAACTCTCCAATCATTCTATTCGTGTTTTGTCATTCAAGCAAGCAAGGGTAAAAGTCAAAACCAAAAGTAATTCCAATAAAGTGGTACCCTTAGAATTTAAGTATTAACATTTAATAATTAAAGTTCAAAAAGGAAAATACTAATTAAGTCTTTTGAGAAACAAGCAAGTAAAGTCAAGAATTAAACTTTTTTTTAAAAATTAAATTTTTTATAAAATAATAAAAAAAAATGGATAGATTTTGCACTTGATTTGCTTTATGCTTCTGAATTTAAATGATATTGTAGATTAGTTCGAGAATTAAATCTTTTACATGTTTGCATATTTTTAAATTATTTTGACTTTTTTCTTTTAGAATTTAAATTTGCTTTTTTACTTTTATACGTATTTGTTAAGAATTTAAATTTGTTTAAATTTAAATAAAAATAAATAAAATATATATTATAAGATTGTGATACACAAATTTTCCCATTTTCCATTTACACAAATTTTTCATAGACAGTAAAGGAAATTTTACATTGCTTAGTTTTAATCCAATTTTTGTGGAACGGTTCCTCAAAACAAACAATGAGGAATTCTGCATTCTTCACCCCACCGACGATTAAAAAAATAAAATAAAATTTTATCTTTCAGACACTCTAAAGAACAACAAAAACTCACTCTTTCATAATAAATTGCTTTATAGATAGAAACTGTGAATTTTATTAGGGATTGTCTCAGTTACGGCTTATTAAATTACACAGATTTTTTGTTGCATTTCATTTAAACTTATCTCCTCAAATTTTGTTACAGATATATTTCTCATTCAATCAATTCAGTTCTCACTCACTATTGAAGTCAACAACAATACTGAGTGAGAACTCTAGCTTTAACTGATTCAGCATATGCTTTAGAATACAAATTTAAAAATGTTTACATGAACGACTGTTATTTTCCACAAAAATTTACTGTCGAGGTTTATTATCTTAAAATTCCCTTGGTACATTACTTTTTTAAATTTAAAATAGCAATCATTTATCAGACAAAAAATTAAATAAATAAAATATATATCTTGTAATATATATTATAAGATTGTGATACACAAATTTTTCATAGACAGTAAAGGAAATTTTACATTGCTTAGCTTCAATCCAATTTTTGTGGAACGGCTCCCCAAAACAAACAATGAGGAACTCTGCATCCTTCACCCCACCGATGATTAAAAACATAAAATAAAATTTTAACTTTCAGACACTTTAAAGAACAACAACAACAAAAAAAAAAAAAAAAAAAAAAAAAACTCACTCTTTCATAACAAATTGCTCTATAGATAGAAGCTGTGAATTTTATTAGGGATTGTCTCGGTTACAGCTATTAAATTATGCATATTTTTTGTTGCATTTCATTTAAACTTATTTCCTCAAATTTTGTTACAGATATATTTCTCATTCAATCAATTCAGTTCTCACTCAGTATTGTAATCAACAACAATTTATTAAAAGGAAATAAATAAATAAAACTCAACAAGTTTTTTTTAAAAGGAAATAAATAAAACTCAATAACAGTTTTTTAAAAGGAAATAAATAAATAAAATATGCACACAAAGTTAAAGAAGAAAGTATACCATAACTAAAATATTCTCTTTTTTTTAAAAAAAAATTATTACTATTATTTTTCAGTTACATACATCAAAGCAAAAGTAAGACACATACCTTTGTGATTTACTAACAGCAATGATTTCGCATTCATTCGGTTTAGGGAATCCTTCATTGTAGAAGCATTTAGGAGGAGCACCTGGATAACTCATAGGATTATCAGGGAAAGAACTAAAAAAAAAGTGGGGAGTTAAATTCTTTGTAATTTGAAACTCAAAGCAAAGTAGATGCTTCATTTTATGAACAACCCCCCCCAAAAGATTGCTATTACAGATAGTAAATTATAAATTCATAAAAAAGCAATTTTACCATAAAAATTGGAGAAATAATAGTAATAATATATCACATTAAAAATTTAAGCATTAGCTGATAATTAATAAAATTTGATCTTGAAAATGACTGCTAATTTAGACAGTACTGTAGTCACTATGGTAATAACGCATAGTTTCATGCGTTAGTCATCAAGAATTTCACTGACTCTATGCACATTACAAAATTTATATTTAAAGACTAAATGTACAGGTTTCAAAAATGGGATTTGTTTATTTTCTGCCCTTCTTAAATCTCCTTTTTAGGTTTGCTATAACATTGTTATATGCAACAATGTAAGATCTATCATCAGTTCCATGGCTAATCACCACAGAGTCCTTTCCCAGGTCCACTGGGAACTCAAAGGAACATCTTTGTGGTAAATGAACGAAATAATCCAATAATGATGGAATTCGTTTTTAGAGTATATAAAAACTAATTTTAAAATTTAGGCAGTAATATGTACTCATAACAAGCACATTAGAAAATAAGTGCTACATCTGGATTAAAGAAATTCTTGTTACCATGGATGTAAATAATAATGTAATGCATCTCAAACAAGTAATTTTAGGATTTTGCTGAACTGCCATTTTATTACTAAACAGAACTTCTTAGGACTAACTTGAATAATTATTCAACCACTGTATTTACTAATATAGTGCAATTACCCAAAGAAAGCTGGTCTTAGATTCATCTAAAACTATTTTATAGAAAAAATGGCTAGTGTCCAGTAGGGAATGCTTGGATCATTAAAATGAAAATTTACCGTAAAACTATTTTGGAGCACTTTACAAGCAACTCATCAGGTCATCCATATTCATAAAGCTGTTGATGGCATACAATATCATTACTGACTTTTAACTAAAATTAAATGTACTATGTACCATGTTGCCTCATAACACATTTCAATTTAAATATCTCACTTGATAACCCAAATCAAAAATAATAACTTTAAAAAATACCAACAAATTACAAAAGGCGGCAAAAATAAAACACATCTTAATGGAAAATTTCATGATGAGAATTTGATTAAAACATATGCTCTAACATTTAAAATTTTACATATTTTCTTGAAAACCGCATATTTCTTTCATGATATGCTTATTTCAAAATGATATTACCTAGGTTTGAACTGATCTACAGGTCCATCAAAACGAGAATTGTAGCCTCTAGGACCTTCAAGCCTTGGTCTTCCTTCCATACCCATAAAGCGATCTCTGGGAGAATCTTCATAAAATGATCGCCCAGATTCTTTTCTACGAATATCATCCCTTGATGGATAACTAGAAATTTTAAACAATAATTAAAATTCCAAAATAAAAATATAAAGTTTTAATAGACAATAAATGATTTTTTATGAAATTCTTACCCATCATCCCTCTTTAATCTGTCAGAAAAACGATCATCTGGACCACGCATTGGTGATCTGTCTCTCATTGGTTCATCTCTTCCATAACCATAGTCTCTGCAAAAAGTAAAGACAAATTACTGGCAGTACATATGAAATGATTATTGAAAAAAAAAAAAAAAAAATACATACACATTTTAAATTACATTGTTAGCATAGGCTGTCTGAAATAACCAAAACCTTGTATTCTCTAAGTACCTCATGTATGGACAAGAGAAAAAAACTGCAAACTAAAAAGAATGAATAAACACAGAGGCTCCCCACTAAACTAGTAGAATTCTTGTACATGGGAAAGATGATTACTTTCAAATACTACACAGAATATTTTTACATAATATGCTATTACCTAATTAGGTAAACTTTTTGCTACATACGCAATTACTGAATTTTTTTTTATAAATATTACTTCGATCAACAGTAAAAAACACAATGCAATCATCTAGTGAAACTTACGATCAGAGTCGGTAATCTGTTTGCCCATGGATAGCATAACTCTGAAACACTTTTATGGTTAAATGAGAAATGCTCATTTCTAAAAACATTGTAACCTACTGCATAAAAAGGTTTCATAACACATATGAATGAAAGATCTTAATACAATTTCTTTCCCCTTTATAAAATAAACTGAATTTTCCTAGCATGCTTCATATTGCAATTCTCTCTCAAGGGCAAACAGCATACGTCTTTCCCTCTCTTTAAAAAGTTAGCGACACAATACTGACAAAAACTGGAAACCATAAATTCCAAAGATAGTTTTTTTCCCCCTAGTTTTAAATGTATTTTGATCTGAAGAAGACGTAAACACTATGTTATACTTCATTTGTGAATCCACATAAAACCCATACATCACATATTTTACACATACAAAAGTACAGTAAAAGAAAAAAAATAACCATTTATCTTTAACACTAGAATAATTGGCATTTAATGTATGAACTTATTATAACAAGGAAAAACATCAGTCATTTTGATAGACTGATAGATCCAATATTACGTTTAAAAAATATGTTGAAATATATCAAAAGTACAGACTTTTAACAAATACATAGGTTCCAACAATACTGCTCCATAAACAAGAGGCACCTTTATTCAAAGTTATATGTACTTAAGCACATTCAGACAGAAGAATTTGAATTATTATATTAATTTCACCATATTTTTATTTACACACCACATAAATATATAAAAAAATCTTCATTATAATTCTAAAAATAATCAAAAGTAAATGAATAACATTAAAATTTTAGCCATTTTCGAAAGAAGTTAATACACAAATTTTCTGCTTAGTACAGAGTAAGTAGTTCATTTCAATCATGCAGATTTGCTTATATCATTATTATAATTGATAGATAAGATTGGGAAACATTACTATTAGATTATCATTTGATCACATGCAGGTGTTATGATTTTATTAGAAAAATTGTCAAGATAAATTATGAATGTAAAGAATGTAGGTATCATTCCAATATTATTACAATAATTTGTATGTTCTAATGCAGCATGGAGCAAAAATCATTAAATTGCAACATATTCTGAAAAATAGAGATATTCTATATATATATATTCTGAAAAATAGAGGCAACAGAGATATTTGTTTGGATCATCTGAATTTATATGAAGGTTGCATTTATAATGATAATACATATGTCTACATTCACAATTCAGGTTAAAAATTTTCTAATAAAATCTTACACCCATAATTTAAAATTAATAAAAAAATTTCCTGTTAAAGAAGGGGGGTTTCTGTACAGTTAGCCCTGAAATCAGTGCTTTTTTGCCTAATTTTAGATTTCAAATATGGTTCAAGGCCTCTGCAAGCTGAAGTTTTTTCCTACCATTATAAAAACTATTAAAAATTAATATTTTTACCTGTATGTATGTCATTCTGCCAAAATTTGGAATTCATTTTTAAAGCTTGTATTTTGATTATCATTTTCATTTTTATTAGTTAGCTTTTTGATAATTCATAAATGACATTACTTAATTATCAAACGAACTTTTTTTTAAAAAAATTCTTTATTCATTTCATTTTCTATGACACATAAGATTTCTTTTGGATACTACTTTTCACATTTCCAGCAATTTGTTAAGACAAAGGCTTTCTCGAAATTAGTTGAACTTTGAAGCGATTAAATTATTAAAGGAATTTTCATATATAACATAAATGACATCCAAATACCTGGATCGATCGCTAAATGATTTTTCTTTCCCTGGTGATGGTCGTCTGCCTCTGCCAAATGGAGGCCGTCTTCCTCTGTTGGAATCTGCATAGAATAATAAAGCAGATGATTAAGATAAAACAATAAAATTTTGCTTAATAAAAAATCTGCACTTTGCATGAGGTTCAAAGAAACTATATAATTTCACAAAATGAATTAATTTTTATGATTTGAGAAAAACTGTGTAGGAAACTATCACACTAATGAGTATATGATGGAGATCTTATAGTTGAAGAATAAATAATTTTAAAATGTAGTAATGCTTAAGTTTTTTTTATAATTTTAATATTATTATTTGAAAAACATTAATAATAACAAACTCCAACTACTACATTGATCCTTTGTAGTTTCTACGGAAGTTCCTGAAAAACTATGAACTACAGAAAATATGGAAAAATCAATGGATTTTACAGAAAGAGGACAAAAGATATAGTATGCAAAATGGAATAAACTAATTCATCTGAGGACTGGTTGAATACTTCTGACATCATGTGTCATGCCATAAGAGTCGTTAAGTTATTTTGATGCTGGAGACATGAAAAATGAGCAATGCCCTTGCCGGGACTAGAACTTGGACCTCTCGAATATGCAGAGCGTGCTACCGTTATACCACGAAGGCATGCAGAAAGAAGGGAGATAACACTTTATATACTCCTCCTTTCAAAGGGCTACTGGGGATTACGGGACCGAATCACCAAATCCTGGTGCTGAAGAATCATCGTTCACCACCTTTTAGTTTGGGTGCCACTGCAGAGTCATTAAGTTATGATAATGATAATGTTTTGATGCTGGAGACTTGAAAAAAAATGAGCTATGCCCTTGCCGGGACTCAAAGCGGGACCCCCTCAAATACGCCGAATGTGCTACCGTTACACCACAAAGGCATGCAGAAAGGAAGGTGGAGATATCTTATAATGTGTTAATAGTATTGCTGATTTTGAAGATTTCAGTAAATCCTGACTGTTAAACTCTGTAACCGAATTCTCTACAATGAGGGACTTGTTTACAGTGCTTCTACTTTTAGGTTAGAGTGCAGCATGTGCATCTTGTAAACTGTGATTCAGCTGAATTATGCAGCCTCAAACTAGCTAAAATTATCAAATCAGAAATTTAAAGATTTATATTCTACAGAATTCCCATGCATTAAAGCATCTGAAATTTCTTTGATTCATGCATACTACAGAGTATGCAACAAAGACTTCTCAGTTGGATGGAAAGGATGACTGTATATGGTACATGCTTTCTCAAAAGCATAATAAATTTATGGCTGCAAAATCTAAAGAATAACAAATTTGTTTCAGACCATTCGAAACTGTTTTTCGATGCAACGTTTCCAGACTGTGCCACAGCAAAACATTTAGCAGCAGTCGAAGAGAGTACTGTTGTCAATACTGTAAATTCAGTGTCCAATATATCATCTGCTCTAAGTACTGATGGAAGTAAAGATAACAAACTATGCCCTCTGATTATGACATATTACAACAAAAGAAAGGGAGTGATTATTACTTCCCTGATTTCTATTTTAGAATGCCCGAATAATATTGTTGTAGATATTTCAAATTGTACACATGAATACTTTACGAGCAAGACGCAGTGACACCCACACTGCTAAAATGACCTGCAATAAGATCCAAGAACTTATTCTAGGAACTGCTGCTATTGTAAGTCTATTCTCCAGAACGCTAGATATTACTCTTAATAATTATCACTTTTATGATCAACAAAGCATCTCCGGATGAACTGCAAGTCAATACAAATAAAGCAAACATTTATTTACTTCTTTATAAAAGCTAACATGTTTTTGCAAAGACAGCATACAACAGTTATTCAAACAAAAAGAAAAGGCCACTGCCAATGACAGAAACACTACATCAGATTGTTTTGCACTTGTCTGTAAGTAAAATGAATAGTTCCTTTTAGCTGCTTCTAATTTACAACATTCCATTCTTTCAACGGCTTTTTACAGTAGTAATCTTTTTGCATGGTTGCGATAGCCAGCCTATTCTCTAGAGAATTCTAGCAAATACTACCATTTATGATTGATGCAGCATTTCTTTGATAAAAAGCAGGTCAACATAGATGATGCTACACCATCATTTACCTCTTTGCATCTAAGCTAAGCTGACATATTTCTCACAGCAGCCAATCTTGAAATACAGGGGGGGGGGGAAAAAAAAAAAAAAAAAAAGGAGTAGTAGTTTCTGTTCTGTGTGGCATCATTTAAAAAGAACTCACAATTAATTTTATAATGCATGATTCAACTTACTGAACTATTTATTACATTATTTTGACATAAAATATATTTATTTAATTACATATTCTAAAGTGTATGTTCTTTGTTTAATTTTTTGCAATTTTCTTACACTTTTATAATGGCATAATCAGAAAATACTCAATAGCAAAGATAAATACATACATAAATAACAGATTAATAATTAAGGTACATATTATTGTGTGGATAAATGTAGTAGCGCAATATATACAGAACAAAATTAAATGCAAATATTTACTGATAAAACATTTGACTGAATCATCATATAAAATTTTATAATGTCTACAGTAGATTAAGAGAATTCAGATCAAATAAAATTTAATGAAAAAAATTATGTTGAAGATCACTATAGGTGGAGAACAAAACTTAAATTGTGAAAATTTAATTCAATTTAATAATTAAAATTGCACAAATCTCATTTGAAAAAATTAATTTCATTTTATGGCTAAAAAAACAGTTTCATTAGTAAAGGCTACAAATTAAAATCTGCGTGATTTGGTCATTAATATATATGTTACCGTGAAAGACTGAAATTGCAGAATGTCGATTTTCACCGGAGAATGTCAACATTCACCAAATACGCTGGTGAAAGATCAAATATTGCATTAAATTCTTGTAAATTCGGACCCTCACCAGTATATGGCAACAATCACAGATACGCTCTGGTGTAGGTCGAAAATAGAGGAGTATATGTACATGCTTGTCATTCCAAAAGGAAGTGTTCCACAAATAAATGCAGTTGTAAAAGCAAGGGCCTCGTGCAATTCAAAGTAGTGTCATAATAGTTTAAGTTGTTGCAATAAATAAGATTTGAATCACATAATTTAGAAAGTTTTTTATGACTTATTTTATTTTCTCATTTAGAATGTACTGTATAATTAAGTAAGTTTTTAACTTCTATTATTTTTCTTTCTCCTTTTGAATATACTGTGTGTATTAAGTACTTATGTTCTTAAGTTCTTATTTTAAGTCTCAAGTGTGTTTTTCGTGACTGAATTACGGAGAAGAAAATATGATATTCTTATATGTTCAACATTCACCATTAGCACATGGTGAATGTCGACATTGACCGGTATAAGTCAGAATAAGATATTTCAGATTGAAAATTTTCAGAGACATACACCAGCGATGTGAATGCTTGGTGAATGCACATTCACCGGTGAAAGTCGACATTCTTCAAATTTCGGTGTTTCACCGTAACATATATATGCATATAGGAGACAAATTGAAGAACAGGGAGCCTTCCATTAACTAGGAGAGTTGACAGCTATGCTATAAAGCATAGGTTCCCAACGGAGGCAGTACTGCCCCGTAGTGGGCACTGGCGGATTCAAAAGAAAACCGGAGGTGTTAAAAGACAGTCAAGAGAGTGGCTGTCAAATCTATCTATTTAGGAAACTAATGTAATAAAATATTTTGAAAATATCTACTGTTTTTATGAATAAACATTTTAGCAATTATCTAAAATTATTATCGCATAACTAAGAATTATGAAATTTAAATTGGCATTAAATAAACATAAATCAAATTTGGTTTAGTATTGTCCTACAAGTCTTTGCATGTTGGTCTGAAAAAAATTGTCAAGAACTATTATTTACTAAAAATTTGGAAACTGATACAAAGGGAGAATCAATATTTAACACTGCGAGCAATTCTTTTCAAGAGAAAGGAATTCCTATTTGTAATATGTTGTTGGCTGCTACTGATGGTGTTCCAGCAATGATGGAGTATCATAAGGGTTTTGTAGTCCATTTGAAATAAAATAAACAAAATGTACTCACTGTTCACTGTTATTCATCACCACCATTTGCTTGCAAAAAGCTTGAATGAATGCCAGCATAAGTCATTTTATTACATTACTACAGTAACAATAAGATTCAAAGCAATTCCTTGTATGACGGATTATTTGACCAACTTCAATGTGAAAACGATGACAATTACAATCACCTGCTGTTGCATATAGGAATTCGATGGCTCTTAAAAGATAATGTCTGAATCTTTTTTTTTTTTTCCAATCTATTATTCTACCCAACTTTCTTAAAAATAAAGATGAAAAACTTTGCAAAAACTTGATTAAACCCCAAAATGACATCACTTGTTTGACAGACCAGTCTGAAATATTTAATGAAGTCAATTTACAACTGCAACGAAATGAGCTGAATTTAATTATAACAGAAAGTGTCATAGTGTCATTCCGCTTTTGTGGAAAATATCTATTATTAAAAAAAATCCAGGTAAAAGTGAATACAACTACATTCCCACATAATCAGCAGTCTCTGCAAAACCGGAAGATTTAATTACTTTCTGCTAACATTTAGACATTCTTTATCCTGATTTTATGAAGTGATTTCAGGATAATTTAAACATGACTGTACACAGTTGGGTTTTAGATTCTTTCACGAATGCAGATACAGCATATTCATTAAATTTAAAAATGGATACCAAGATTTCTGGTTTTTAAAATCAATATCAGCTATCTACCTGGATTGTGGGCAAGAGTATGGAAATTTTTAATTGCTTTTTCTTCATTATATTTGGATTAGCATGGACTTAATACAGTAGCTAATTTACTGTCTAAGAAAAGGAACAGACTGAGTATTACTAAACATAGCAATTTGTGACTGATGTTAACGAAAGTAGAACCCCAAAATAACAAATTGTTAACTTATTTTTAAAAAGCAATTTCTAGACTCTTCTGTTATATCGGGACCCGCATTAAAAAATTTATTTAGATATTCTCGTTTAGCTTCCTAGATGTTCCTAAATAGATAGATTTGACAGCCACTCTCTTGACTATCTTTTAACACCTCTGGTTTCTTTTTAGCCTCATTCACAAGAGCAGATTCAACCGGTAGTGAAAACCGGTTCTTCCAACGTGTCCCGTTCACATGGGACAAGCATTAACTGCCTCGCCGAATTGGAGGTAGAACTTGGTTGAATATTCCTTACCTCTCGGGAGCAGGTCAAATGGGGAGATTTCCCGTACTATACTGCGCGCTTCACTTAATTTTAGTTACTGCTCGCTGGACTGTCAGCGAAACAATCGCGCTGATAGATGTCTGGGGATGCGATAGCATATCCCAAAAAATTAGATAGAACTGTACAAGATATGAAAATTATAGACAAAATACAGACAAGGTTATCTGATGCTAGGTATTCCAGAAATATCGCTCAAATTAAATCTAAAGTTAAGACAAGTGCATATCGGCTTCAACGCGACAAGGAACTCGATACCTTTTGAATGATTTTTTTTAAAAAAATTTAAGCATTTTCATCTACTTTTTATGAATATTATTAAATTGTTTTGAGAGACAAAATAATTTTAAGCTGAAAAAAAGTTTTTGCTAGTAATTTTTTTAATTTAAATTTTTGAAGAAAAATTTTACAATTAAAATGTTTTTCTTCTCCTACAATTTTCAATGTCTCCCCCCAGGTTTTTTTTTTTGTTGTATTTATTAGAGTGTTTTTAATAACTTCAAGGAATGATTTTGCAGTTGAATTAGTTTGAGAAAAATAAAAGTACACTTTTATCTAAAAATCTTTAAAACAAATGATCTCAGTCACATTTTGATTTCAAATAATTTTTCCTTTCAGTATTTTGTAAAACCCATTCTTGTTTCTATAACCTATTTAAATAAGCAGTAAAATTAATAAAAAATTTAGTCCATACCTGTATATGTTTTAGGACTTTAAGTAAAAGGATTTATTGAAAAAAATGCAAAAAGTTTCTCAGTTTGCATTTTTAATTTAAAGAATACAAACTGTCTAAATAGACATTTAATCATTTCAAATCTTTAAAATTTTATTACTGAATTTCAATAGACACATATGTATATAAATCAAACCTAGTGCTATTTATTCAATTGGTAAATGTAAACATAAATTACAACCTTTTTTTAAAACCTTATGCGGCCAGAAAAATTGCAAAAACTTATAAACGCAAGCAGAATTTTTCTTACCTGTTTTTGTTTTGTAAAACACGTTCAAACAATTTTAATACATAATTAATTATAAATTGTTGCGTGCGTACGGGTTTGCAATAGATTGATAATAGTTCGTAAATGATTGTCATTGCCTCAAATCCGATGATAGCTTAATTAAATTTTTTTTCAACATAAACACTTCAAAGTTCTGGAATTTTCCACAGAAATACTCGTACAAGTGTTTAGAATATCACTAAGTATAATCAGTAGTTATGCTTCAATCTAATAAGAACGTTAAACACAACGGAATGCAAAGCGCATCTTAAGAGTTAACTCAGAAATATCTCCAATCTCACGCTGAACTAACCACTGGCAACAATAACAACTTACATAGCATAAATAATGTCATAAAATAGTGTGGTATGATGAGATTATTACTTTGAAACCGATGTTTCGAATTGATGCCAAGAAGAACCAATATTCCCATTCTGCTTCATTGCATATCTTTCAAAAAAATAAAAAATCTTTCCATTATTATTTCCTTTATTTCCTTTTGTTTTTTTTTTTTAAATGCGAAAAAGTTTGTTTTATAAGTGTGAAAAAGTTTGTAACCGATCGATATTCCGATATTTTTGATATGAAATTTTAAAATTAATGGGCGTCAAAAAGTCTAAAAATATGAACGATTTTTAAAAATTCTCCCAAAATATTTTTTAAAAAATTACGCTAAAAATTTCAGTTAATTTTTTTCTCCACAGTGCGTTATGGTGGCAAACTATAATTCTGAGATTCTCAGTTTATTTGTTAGTATTTGCAAAAACGTCTTTTCGACTTTAAATTTGAAAAAAAATCTAATCCTCTAAAAATCAAAAGCGTGATACCACATCCACAAGTAGTGTATGTACAAAGTTTGAGTTCTATATCTTATTGGGAAGCAGTTTAAAAATCCATGACCATCTTTTAACCATAGCGACAAGGACCAAGATAACAGCTTATAAAATATAATAATAATAATTAAAAAGCATATATTATTCAGGAACCATTACGAAAGTTCAGGTACTAGTTGCGAAAGTACAGATTACAAAATTAACAAAAATAAACAACGTTAAAAATGTGTAAACAGTATTAGAAATCTGCCAATTCGGAGACGTGATTGTTCACAGAGGGGCTTAGGAGTAAAGGGGAAGTCAGAGGGTGGTCTTCTGAACGGGTCCTAAAGACGAAACTCTTTCATGTCTCCTTTTTCTCCTCTTGCTAACGGCAGCTGTGTGAAGGAGCGTTGCATGTGAATGGGGCTTTTGAACCCGCTACTGCCCTCTTCCCCATGGAAGGTTCCAATGCCCACTGCAGGGCAGTACTGCCTCTGTTGGGAACCTATGCTCTGTAGCTGCCAACTCTCCTAGTTAATGGAAGGCTCCCTGTTCTTCGACTTGTCTCCTTGTAAATGACCAAATAACGCAATTTTAATGTAATTGTTTTTTTAGCCATAAAATGAAATTAATTTTTCAAATAAGATTTTCGCAATTTAAATTATTGAATTGAATGAAATTTGCACAATTTAAGTATATATTTAATTTATAAATATAAATTTAATACATACATTTATTTTAATTCATTTTTACTTTTGGTTTTAATAGACAGATAAAATAGACATATTTAATCTGCAACAATATTTAAATATTCGGCAAAATTAACTATTATGAAAGAGAAGACAACTCTCTCCTTCTTTCTTTCTTTTTTTTTTTTTTTTTTTTTTGTAAATAGGGATAGCAAGTAACAGTGAGGGAAAAGACTATGACTAATGATTTTTAAAGACAAATGATGTTCAAATCTTCATCTAGGAATGATTTGAACTCATATATAAGAAAAGAAGCCCCTTTTTCTAGTTTCTAATTTATAGACATCCTCTTTCATATTCTTTAAACATCTCTACACTATGCTAACGACAGACAGAAAGACTTTTTCAGAACTGTTCCATTTTAGAAACTAAGTAAAACCTTTCATATAGGAGTAAACAAGATAATATTTCATACATATTCTAAATAAACCTTAACATTAAAGATTTCTTATAATAGTCTGAGATTTATCAATATATCTGAAAGTTTAATACAGTATATTTCAAGAAAAATAATTTAAAGAATTATATCAACAATGAAGGAAATATACTTACCAAATCTGGAAAGACGTTCTTCGGAATCCTCTCTCATGGATTTTTCATTATCCATACCTCCGAATCTTCTAGATTCATTTCCATCTAATTTGCTTCCCCCTTCATCATCCCTGCTACGGAAACTCATTGCAAACCCTAAAACTGGCATAATAGAAAGTAATTATTTCATGAACACTTATCTTTTGATAACCAATAATTTTAAAAATCTAAATATTCCTCTATTTACATTTTTACGCTACAATTAATTACAATATCAATATTCAATTAAGGCAATAAATTAAGAAATGAAAAATTAGTCAGTTATTTTGTTTCTAACAAAACAGGAGCTAATTTAAAATAATTATACCACAATAACTCATTTTAACTATTTGAGATACTATATTCCCCTTCCAAAAGCAAAAACACAGAGAATTTTACTAAATCTGTAGAGACATTATGTTATTTCGAAGCAGGAGATGAAAAATTAGCAATGCCTTCGCCGGGACTCGAACCATTGGCCTTTCAAATACGCACCGAGCGTGCTGACCACTATACTACAAGGCAGGTCAAGAAGGCATGAGAAATACCTTATAAATCACTAATCATATAAACTTCTTTTAAAAACAATGCCAAGGAGAAAAATAGCTTTCACAGCCAAATAAGACAGAGGGAAAAATCCTTATTTGATTACAATTTTCAAAGACAAAATTTTTCAATGCATTTTAACATACTGCACTCTATATTGAATGCCTGAATGCATACTCCTAAAATATGGCTTTTATATTAAAAAAACATTAATTAAGAACCAACGCTGTCAAATTACTGTTTACAAAACTGTTCAATTTGAAAAATGAATTTAACTAAATATGTAATTTTGACAACTTTTATTTAATTAAATTCGATATTTATTACATCCCTATATTCACACTACTCGCTTCCTGAATGCAAGAAAAGTCAGTGATTTTAATAATATGAATTTGGTAATACTTTCTGGAACAGTTTTATTCATTATTGTATCATCTTCCATAAACAGCCTCTGAACAATCTTTAGCAGATCAAGAAACAAAAAACTGACTATAATAATACATTTTTTGTAAAAGGCCCACACGACAATTTAAACTTCTTATACTTTCAGGGATCAATGCATGTCCTTCATCCTTCTGTGGCTGAATACATCAAGAAATAATAATGTAGCTATGATGAAGTGCAGCAACAGGCAAATCTTTATTTTAGGCTAACTGCACTTTTCTTTTTAATGTTCTAATGATATTTTAGCTATCTAAGATGTTATAATTAAGCCAATATATAAGTTATAAAGCAGTAGCTGAAATACTGTTGGATAATTTATGTCACTGTTTTAAAATTTTACTTGGAACTGTTTTAGAATATTCACTTTTACAAAGAATTAACTAAATTCCAATAATTTTGAAACATTAATGTCCAAATGTTGTATACTATCATTTCTAAATATCTGATAAATATAATTAATTTGTGAAAATAAAAACTTAAAATTATCAGGAATGTATTATCTGCTTCAGAAAAGAATTAAATGACGAAATGTTAGTGATGCATTTCATTGCATCATATAAATTCTAATGCTCTAGGACATCTAGGAAATCTGGTATACAATCAGTAATTATTTATGCCATAAACTATCGGTGAAAACATCACTCAAGGAAAAAAACCATTGAAGTTGCTTTCTTTATGCAATGATATTACTATGAAGAAAATTATAAATGCACACACAACTAGCCTAGGAGGCAAATTTTAATACATAATAAATAAAGTACGAGATCATATTCTACCATGTAATACGCAGTATATGATCACAGTATTTTTAAGTAATTTTATCCTATTTAATTCCTCTACTTCACATATGTGAAATACAAGTCAGGAATTTACAGAAATGTTAAAAATGTAGAAATATTGAAATAAACTTCTTGATGTGAAATAAGGATAAACTGATTATTGAGAAGTCTTTTATCAGGATTTGTAATTTTTCGAATGTACTAAGTTTGCCGCCTATGCTATGTATAGTCATTAGCTTTATATGAATCCATACAAGAAATTTATATTGCTTATTTCAGTTACTTTGGTATTTCAGTTACTTTGGTAACTGAAATAAGATGATATGATTGGTAAGAACTTCATAATGAAATGAATAAAAAAAAAGGGTACTTTTCCGTTTTGCCGGCGCAGGCGATAAAGTCGCCAGTAATGGTACAATTGATGCCAAAGAGAATATCCTCGCTGGTAACCTTTTACGCCTCATTTTCAAAATAAGTCGCAGCCATTTCTTATCAGATTGATTGTTTCTTTCAATACTGGTATAAAATTACATATAATTTTTACCAGATAGTTCAATTTTATGCCCTAAGGACTATCACGGGCGGTAATGAAGTCAATTACGATGCAATCATACCGCTCACCCGATGGCGAAAATATAGAAAAGTAAAAGTCAAGAGTTAAATTAATCAATTATAATTAGAATGCACTAATGAAGTAAAACACTGCGGTTTTACAAAATTTCTGAGTAAGCTATTTTTACGAATTGAAATAATTCTGGCATTTAAACATGTATTCCAAATTAAGATTTGATTTGAAATTAATGTAGATAATTACTGAGAGAATTAGATTTTTGTAGCGTAGTTTACATGAGATGAGATCACTTGGGGTCACGTGATATGAACCGGCGAATCAGGATGTTGTACGATGAAAGGATTGTAAATCATTAAATTAACGTCTTTTTACAAATGTATTGTCTTTATTTATAAGATTTTTTTTAAATTTTAAGCGACATTAAAATGCTTATACCTTCAAAATAAAAAATCCTTAGAACTAACATTTGTCAACATTTTTTATGTGTATACTATGTGTTTTCGCCAATAAAGTCTGCTTGGCGAGATTTGCGCCGGCAAAACGGAAAAGTACCAAAAAAAGTTATTGCATTGTAGTTGCAGTCTTATGTTTTGGAATATATTTTTGAGAAGATGAAATTTTTAAATGTATGATGGCAGAATATTTCAAATATTTCTTTTATATTTGCTCCCATATTTTAAGAGGATAATAATGTCCCAATGCTCAGCAATAAAATTTTTTTAAAAAAGGGGTTATGTGTTATAAATACAAGATATCAAACTACTTTACGTTTTCAAAGAAAAAAAAAACATTTCCAGAGTAAATTTATATATTACCGAGTAAATTTTATTTTACAGCGCAATTTATGCCAGAAATTGACAAGCATTATTTTCTCTGCCAGCTGATCTTGATTAAAATAGCTGAATAATGATTCCAAAAACATTTTATTATACTCATCAAAATTAAATTGTCTTAAAGTTTCCCATATAAAGAGACCGTCATTAAATCTGAAATACAATGAACAGTCAAAGAGGATCCTGGGATTTGGTTTTCTGGTCTGGGAATGCAGTTCAAAACCCACTCAATAAAATCCCGAAACCATTTACTTTTATTTCACTTTAAACGTGAAATTTAATGCTTGCTTTTTCTTTCTGGCAACAGCCATGTTATTCTACCATATTCCATGTCTCTGGGTTTTAAAAAATACACAAAATACTAATAAATAAATAAATAATCTTAAAGGTTTCAGATTTTAACAGTCAGCTAACATAGAAGTACATGTTTAAAATTCCAGATGTAGCATGTGTTGCCATACATTTTTCTGTTCCCCATCCTCAGTCTTTTCTCAGTTCATCATATCAATGTTCAGTTTTTTTTACTATGATGGCTTTTCAAAACGTTTTTTTTTTTTTTTTTAAACATTTTTATTATTAACGTTTTGTGTGTTTATTTATTAAAAATCACATTCTTTGTGCTTATACCATAATATTCAATTCAACAACAAAGTCACAAAGTGCAAAATCACCCACTGCTTGGTGCATTTTTCAAAATCGCCAACTTAGCGCGCTCTCACGTCCTGGATTTACAACCCCTCCAGAAGACACTACGCAAGGCGTGACATTTACAATGGCGAACAAGTAAAATAAATACAAAATAAAAGTTGAAGCAAAATTTTGAAAACTGGAAATCCTTTAAAAAGAGCATAATAATTTTAAAAAACAAACATGGTTAAGAAAAAATAGTCTTCAAAAACTTAAAATCGTTACAAAACCCTGAAGAATTAAAATACATTCACCTATAAAAAAATTGGGGAAAGTGCAGAATCACCCACTGCTTGATGTGTTTTTAAGAATTTTACAAACTCAGTATCCATGTACACATCAACCTACTTAAAAAATCTGATGTGTACACCACATGACTTCCTTGTACGGAATATTAAATTATATGCATTTTTTCTTGCATTTTATTTAAACTTATTAGATTGAATTAAACCTACTTCGCTGATAGCGCATAAACCACAATAGAATAAATGCATTCTTTAAAATTCACTTTGTTTACCATAGTGACACTCTGGCGCTAGGTTTACTTAACAGTATTATATTTCATTCATATTATAACTCAGAATGCACAAAATGTATATCATTTAAAGAATTATCTAATCGTTGCCACATGTTCTATTCAAATACCATAATAAAGCTAGAACTATGTATAAAACAAATTAAGCAACTACAACAAAAAAGAAACAGTTTTTCACAGACGATTGAGTATTTCTTATTTAATTAATTCAGTTCTCACTTCACGAGAAAGCAAAAATACATAAAAACTCAAAATATCTATTAAAAATTATGAATTAATCTCAAACGCTTATTTCCTCGAAAAAATTCCAGAAAGAATTAAGCCTGATTTAATTGGCAATAATAAATGAAAGCGTTATCTTTGTTGTTGCGAAGCTAAGTTTCTCTAGATTAGCAACAAATCCACTAGTCTCCTGTTTCAAATGCAAACATCAATGGCCGCCATTAAAAACAGGCTTAGCAGCAATTAAGCAACTTTAAAATTGCTGATAATTCTAAAAATATTGCACACAGATTTACTAAAGGCATAAAATCCTTAACCGGATGATAAAAACAACATAATTCAATCATTTTTAAAGCAAAAAAATGTACAATTTACAAACATATAAGAGTAAAGAAACAGATCACTGAGCCGGGTAATATAGGGATATATATATAAATATATTTATATACGTTTGGTGCGGCCGATTGCAACCAAAATACGAGGTGCACATCTACATGTTATAGCAGTCCTATATAGAAAATTTTAACGTTCTGAGGCTACTCGTTTTCGAGTTATGCGAGATACGTACGTACGCACGTACGTACATACGTTCGTACAGACGCCACGAAAAATTCTTTTCAGAATTAATTTTAAAGCAGTTTTATAATTTTTTTGAAGGAAAAGAGTATTTTACTCTGTCCTTACGTACAGATATCATGCAAAAACATTGTTAAATTGCATTTGAAAGCGGTCAAAATGGATATTTTCGTTGAAATATGCTGCCTGAAATTTTTCGCAATTACAATACTTTCTTTTTACTTCATACAAGGAAGTAAAAAAAATCCCAGAATTGCACAAAAATGGCATTGCGCTCTCGCTTGACTTTATCCATGTACACATCGACCTATTTTCACTTAAAAAGTCAAAGAAAATTGAAAAAATCCAATTCTTCTTCCTCTTGTAAAAAGTGCCAAACAAATAAGTGGGAAATTTTTAAAACTGGAAATCCTTTAAAAGAAAACCTAGTAACTTTAAAACTAAAATCGTTTCAAAAACATAATAAGTTTAAAGAACATAAAATCCTTACAAAACCCTGAAAAATTAATACTTTCAAAAAATTTTAAAATATGAAAATCCAGTCCTTACAAAAACATTATTTTAAAAACTAAAAATCGTTTCAAAAACATAGTAAGTTTCAAACACTTAAAAATCGTTACAAAACATTGAATATTTAAAATACTTTCATTTACCTGAAAAGGGGTAATCTGCACCGCTAAGCCAATGAACGAAAAGTAACGAATTCTCAAAATGTTCTCGAATTATTCTTTAAAATAACTGCACCTCTACCATCTATTATTTTCTACACCAATTAGAAATTCAAAATTTTAAAATACATACTGAGCACGAGCAAAAATGCTCCAAATTTCGTGCTCAAAAGAAATTCTCAATTTAAAATACATACTACGCATGCGTGAAAATGCTCCGAAATTTGCCTTTCAGAACAGCAAAATCAACTTAGATACCACATTTGGTATACTTATCAACCTTGTAAAAAGCGCTAAACACACCGCACCAAATATGTGGTTCATTCTACACTTTAACCTTATTTAAAAACAGCATATCTTTAAAATTTATGATAGGCATCTCGTGCACTGGACATTACTTCCCCCCCCCAATACAATGTTGCCACCGCTCAATTTGAAATCATTAAGTTCGTAAATTAAAAATTCATCAAAGTTTTACAAAATCTGAAATAGATCATAAATCCAATTCAAAATTCAGGCTTCCAGATGCCCATGTTCAGGTGAAGGATTACATTATTCAAAATTTGAGGGTTGTAGGTGTCATTTTTTCACAATGTCAGAAAAATAGAATACATTCATGAAGATTCAAGGAAATTTCTCATTTTTACATATCACACTTTTTTGTTTTGTGTATTTCTTAACCAATGCCTATATAGATTATGAAACGGTAATTGAAAAGTTAGGTTTTGGGAAAACTTCTCTTTGAAAAGATCAGTCTACTGCCTGCTCAACAATTATTCACTTTACGTAAATTAATTTTTCTTTTCTTTTTTTTTTTTTTTTTTGTTAATTTAAATGTGTTTAGATAAAATTTTAGGACTGTGGTTTGTTTTTCTTGTATTTACATACTTGCAGTTTATTTACTAATGTTTTTTTTAATTTAATGATATTGCAAATTAGTTTGCAGCCATTGATTAATCAATTTATCGATTAATTTTCAATCAATTTATTTTGTTTGGAATTGAATTTGCATAATTTAAAATTTGGCTAGACTGGAGATTATGATCTAGTCAACAAGTGAACCAAAGTCGTGCCAAATCTGGCTTAAATATGAATCAATGTTTTCTGATCATTTATTGCTCAGTTACTGCTTATTACAATTTCTTAAATTTCGTGATGAAACGCTTTACTCCATTTTGCTACTGTCTTAAAAATGGTATATGATATTATGAAAACTTTTAATGTTGTTTATCCTATAAAATACATAGTTATTAGCTTTCAAATACTTTGGGTAAAGCGCAGAATCGCACACTTATTTGGTTGGCACTTTTTACAAGAGTAAGAAGAACTGGATGTTTGTCAATTTTCTTTGTCGTTTTAAATGAAAATAGGTCGATGTGTACATGGATAAAGTCAAAGGAGTGCGCAATGCCATTTGTGTGCAACTTTGAGATTTTTTTTAAAGTGAAAATAGGTTGATGTGTACATGGATACCGAGTATATGCTATTCTTAAAAATGCACCAAGCCGTGAGTGATTCTGCACTTTCCCCTTTACATGATCTATTTTTGCATGTTTACAGAATTAATTCAAATTTGCAACCATCTAATATGGTGATACGATGAGTTAGCAACTTTCTAAAATGCACGAAAACAACCGATTTAGCAATTTTTTGAAAACTCGGCAAACTGGACCGTAATATCCAGTTCTACCTAAAATTTTAATATACCTTATATGAATGAGATATTGTATTTATTAAATTCATATATATATAATAAATCAAAATCTCACAAACAAGAATGAAAAAGAAAATGCCGTATTAAATATTTGAAGGTTAATCCTATTTTCTCTGTGTAACAAAACAAACTGGTAAAATGCAAATTAAATTACAAAATTGTAATAAAAAAATTTCACTTAAAAGAGAAAAAAATATAAAAATTAGGAAATCTGTATATATCAAAAAAAAAAAAAAATTAATTTCCTTTGTTTAATACTTAAACAGAGCTTGTCAAAATAAGTGTTTTGAAGCCTTGAGCAAAATAACGCTAAAATTTTTTTTAAAAAATTTTTAAACTGTACTGCGCTATAGCTGCAGGATTGAAGTAAAATAGACTTAAAGCATCCAGTTATATATTACATAATTTAATAATTAAGTTAATGAAATTTTACATCAAAATATAAGTTATTCCTTTTAAATCTCATATCTATGTAGTTTCTTTTAGACAGACTTAATACAGGTAATCATAAATTAAGTATGCCCATCATTGACACATGAAAGAAATTATAATTTTTTTAAAGTCTCACATTTTATTTGGAAATTTCATATGAAATCCTATGGTAAATAAGAATTTGGAAGCACTTCCGCAAAGGTAATAAAAAGTACGCCTATATCGGAATTCTTTACAATTACTAATTGCATACCTTGAAATTATCTACAAGTGGTAGGCTCACATTAAAATCTAAAATATAATTATTTTCCGTTACATCTGTTTTCGAAGCTATTGAAGTTTTGGAAATATTAATACAAATTGCAGGACTATGATAACTGATTCCAAAGCATTTTAAAAAAGTATACATAACTGCCATACTAACTGATAAAAGTTAGTATGTAGAGATCAAATCAAATCATTTCACAATCGTTTCCTAAACAATCTATTATTCTACTTCGAAAGTTCAGAAAAAATATTGCAGCAACATTAGGTGGCTTTAAAAATTAATTGATACAGTAAAAGACGCGTTTTACAAGCGAAACTATTAGTAAGCCTAAAACATTTCTAACCGCCATTTCAATATCAAATAAAATATAACTATCAATAAAGCGAGAATTCTTATAAAAATACACAGTTATAATATGGAGACAGTTTGATTCTTATTATTTAATCGAAAAATTATTCATTACTACCTGTATATATCAAATCCGGCTTTTCAAAACACTTATTTAATTCGCATCACCGCGTAAAAGCACCACAAAACACCATAGAACAGTGTTGTTGAAAGTTACTTCACTTCATTTTTGACAAATACCAAAATGTCAATTTGCGAAATGAATGAAACTTAAAATGGGCTTTATTTATAAATTTAGCAAAAATCGAGTGTTTAAATGTTCTATCGAAAAGGAAGTTATAAGCATTTGTATAAGTAAGAATGAGCTCAATCTCTTACGCAATGCAAGTTCACAGAATTCACCTGTGAAACTTCTCGCATGCAATTTTCTTTTCGCCAGAGTGGCAACAGTAAGCCTCCGACAAGAAAAAGAACAATGACTGATTTTCTATGTGTATTACTCTATATCCAAAAAATGTAAATAAATATCAGTCTTCTTGGAGTCAGAACGGTGTTTAACAATTCCTATGTTCCAGACTTCCACACTGGTTTACCCAGATGCGATCCAATTCAACTTATGAAGTGTAAGATGGAAAAAGAATGTACGATGTTTTTGTAATATAACGAGATGTCATTGACATTATATTGACATTATACGCACTTTATAAGTCATCTGTATCTGTTTATAGTCATCTGTATCAAATATATGTTACGGACAGCGTCGTAAGCAGCTACTTACCCATTTTAAAGTTCCACAGTTCTTTTCCTGAGTTCGACAGTGGATTGAGTGATAGTTTCGAGTTCGAAGTGCTTCTGGTGCGTATGGATTACATCAAGAATAGATGGTTTGATTGTTTTTTATACGTCTTTGAAATATAAACTCCGAGCGTACGTGGGACTGAAATACTTCTGCAATAGTAAGTCAACTTTAATAATTTTAATTTTGTTCTATATTGCAATATGTCTTCAGCGGTAATAAATGCAATCAGAATTTTCAGAATGCATCAAATGTGTTAAGAATAAATTAACTAGTTTTTACTAAGCAAACTTTAGTTGGAAGAGCTTAAGCTATAAATAAAATTAAAAACTTGGATAAAGGCAGCTGTACTTCCGTTAAGCCTAATTCTACTATGGCTGAAGGAGATGAAAGTAAACAAACCGAAACTAATGCAATATCTGCAACTGTCGCCAAGGTCAGCATCAAAGTTCCTCCTTTTTGGAAACTTGACCCCAAAATATGGTTTCCTCAGATTGAAGCCCTATTGCGCAATGCTGGAATTACGGCTGATCAAACAAAATACGATTATGTAGTCATTTCTATTGAAAGAGGGACATTGTCACAAATCTCTGATATTCTCACCAAACCACCAGACAACGGCAAATATCCGGCCATTAAAAAGAGGCATATTGAAATTTGTGCCGACTCTGAAACACAGAAAACCCAGAAACTTCTGAACGAATTAGAACTGGGTGATGAGAAACCATCCCAACTTCTCTGCGAAATTCGTAACTTGGCGGCTGAGAAAGTACCAGATGAATTTTTGAAAACATTGTGGATGCAACGACTACTACTTATTATGCGGAGCATTTTATCTGTAAGCAGTGATAATTTGTCCAAATTGTAGACAATGGCTGACAAAATATGGGAATTAAATCCCAATCCACTCCAGGTAGCTCGCATTGTTTCTTCTCCATCTGATAACATTATAGCCGAAGATTTATAGAAACAGATATAAAACTTGACACTGCAGATAACAGAAATGAATAGACGTAGAAATTCCAATCCACAAAGACGACGATACAGGTCGAATTCTAGAAATCGTTTAAAAAATAACAATGACCCAAATAATTGTTATTTTCATCAACGCTTTGGTGAGAGAGCATACAAAGGCACCCCACCATGTAATTACCAAGTCCCGAAACAGGAAAACTGAATCCCCGATCTTCGATGAAGACAGAAAGTCAAGGGGTACAGCTGAGTCATCTATATATTCGTGACAACGCATCAGTAACCCATTTTTAATTGACACTGGAGCAGAAATATCGGTTATTCTACCATCACCATCGGAAAAAGAGAACTGTGGCTAAGCTTGAGTTATTCGCTGCTAACGGTACAACAATCAAAGCTAAAAAATTATTAGAACTAGATTTAGGGCTACGCAGCTCTTTTAACTGTCCTTTTATCATTGCAGATTTTAATAAACCTATCGTGGGAATAGACGTTCTTTCACATTTTAATTTGTTAGTCGATAGTAAAAACAGAAAATTAATCTACGGCATCACCTCTTTAACGGTTAAAGGTACTTTGTGTAACAATAGCATCACTCCTAAATTCATAAAACAATAAAATTAAGGAGCATGATGTGCAACATTACATTGAAGCCAAAGGTAACCCTGTATCCTATAAAGTCAGATGACTTTCTCAAGAAAAATTGATTGCCGAGAAAAAGGAATTCGATTATATGCTGCAAGAAGGTCTCTGCAGACCATCCAAAAGCAGCTGGTCAAGTCCATTACACCTCACTTTAAAAAAAATCCGGTGACTGGAGACCATGTGGAGATTACCGTGGCCTTAATGCAAATAATGTATCAGACCGTTACCAACTACCCTTTCTAAGGGATTGTACTCATATTCTGCACAGAAAAAGGATTTTTACAACCTTAGATTTGATAAAAGCCTGTCAACCGATTCCTGTTCATGAAGCTGATATTCCGAAGACAGCCATTATAACACCTTTCGGACTTTTTGAATTTTCTTATATGACATTTGGCTTACGCAATGCTGCACAAACCTTCCAAAGGTTTATGAACACAGTGCTTAGCGGCCTAGACTTTGTATTTTGCTATCTCGACGACATTCTCATCGCCTCTCCAGACACTGAAACACACAAAAACATCTTGAATTAATCTTTCAAAGACTCAATAACTATGGACTGTGCATAAACATTGCAAAATGCAAATTTGGTCTGAGAAAAGTTGAATTTTGGGGGTATAAAATATCGAAGGAAGGAACCAAGCCTCTTCCATCGAAAGTCGATGCAATTAAAAAATATCCTAAACCAGAATTCTTCACAAGCTTACGCAGATTTTTGGGCATGGTGAAATTTTACCATCGTTTCATTCATTCCATACTGCACCAAACTATAGCAGCCCCTGACAATTTTGCTTAAAGGAGTGAAGAAAAACAACAAAAAAGCCTTTAATTTGGACCTAAGATGCGCAGAAGGCTTTCACTGATATCAAAAGCGCACTGTGCAACTCTGTAATGTTAGTTCACCCCAATCAAACGGCGCAAATCACCCTAACTACAGATGCAAATGATTCTGCCGTGGGTGCCATAATTCATCAACTATCCAATAATGAAAAATAATCGCTAAGCTTTTTCTCCCAATCCCTATCACCAATACAGAGAAATTACAGTGCATACGATCAAGAACTACTTGCAATCTACCTAGCGGTGAAGCATTTTAAACACATTCTAGAGGACAGATCATTTACTATCTTCACTGATCATAAGCCTATCACTTTCGCCTTCCACCAGAATTTAGATAAAGCATCTCCAAAACAAGTACAACAGTTGAACTACATTGCCGAATTCACTACAGACATACGCTACATTTCTGGAGATGAAAACATTGTAGCTGACACTTTATCGAGAATCGACACCATCGCTATCCCAGCTCCTATTGATTATACAGTTATAGCAGATTGCCAGGAGGATGAAGACCTCAGAATTCTCAAATCAAATTCCAGTTTTATAATAGTAAAAATTCCTATTCTGGATAGCAATAAGAAAATTTACTGTGATACCTCCACTAATTTTAAGAGGCCATACATTCCTAAAGAATTTCGCGAACAAGTATTTTTTTCAATACACAACTTATCCTATCTTGGAATTCGTGCAACATCAAAGTTGGTTACAAAAAGATTCATTTGGCCTGGCATGAACAAAGAGCGTGCTGTGGTCTAGAGCATGCTTGCAATGCCAACGAGCCAAAATTCACAAACATACCCATGTTCCAGCTGCTGAATTCAAAGTTCCCAATCAACGTTTTAAGCACCTTAATATTGATATTGTTGGCCCTTTACCATCTTGCAAAGGTTTTAGGCACCTGCTTACCATTATCGATAGATTCCCTAGGTTAATCGAAGCTGTACCTTTGGAAGACCAAACTGCAGAGTCCGTCGCAAATGCGCTCGTCGCGACTTGGATTTCGAGATATGGAATTCCAGAGAAGATAACATCTGACACAGGTCGACAATTTGACAGCTAACTCTTCAGATTCTTGAGCAAATACCTAGGCTTCAAGGCTAACAACACCACGGCTTATCATCCACAATCAAGTGGTTTATCGAACGACAACATCGAACCCTGAAAAACAGCCTAAATCCCACCTGCAAACGTCTAATTCTTGGACTGAAGTTGTACCTTTGATTCTTCTTGGCATTCGATCCGCCATTAAAGAGGATTTGCATTGTTCTTTTGCTGAACTTGTGTACGGTTCACCAATCTGTTTGCCTGGAGAAGTTTTCAGTAATACCTCCACTGTTACGCATTCAGATTTTATACAAAAATTGCAAAAGTCACATCCAAAACCTGAAACCAACACCAACAGCCAGCCATGAAAAAAAATTTCGTCTACAAGGACTTAGCAAATTGTTTACACGTATTCATCTATAATAACATAATTTCATCTTCTCTACAACCACGCTATCTTGGATCATATTTAGTTAAAAATCATTTTGAGAAATTTTTCGATGTGGAAGTTTCAGGTAAAATGAAAAGGATATCAATAGATACAGTCTCAAAGATGAAAAACAACAAATCTCCATAGATGTGAAGCTGAAAACTCCAAAATCTCACCCCCACTTCCTGGAGACAACGATTCTTCCAAAGATATTGATCCAAAAAATCCTAGAAAATACTTCCAAAGATCCTAGAAACACAAAAGCTGGACGAAGGGTGATATTTCCTGCATACCTGAAAGATTACGAGGTATAACGGGGAATACTGGTAAGGGGCGTGTGTGGCGACATCATTTGCGTTAATGAAGTGCCAGCTGTGAAACTAATCGCATGCAATTTTCTTTTCGCCAGAGTGGCAACAGTAAGCCTCCGACAATGCTCCGCCTCCCCCTTTCCTCAAGAAAGGGAACAATGACTGATTTTCTGTTTGTATTATTCTATATCCAAAAAATGTAAATAATATTAATCTTCTTAGAGTCAGAACGGTGTTT